CAATTATTTGCTTGAGATTCCCAAAGCCCAGACCAGGGATATTCCCAACAGGGACAAACTCAAACTCAAGGTTCCTGGTGCTCATTTCCTAGTACTTCGAAGGCAAAGAGAACAAATGTCACTACGTAGAGACCATTTCCAATCCATATCCCTTCCTAGAACACACACACACACACACACACACTGCATCCAATGCCCCAAAGCCCAGTAAAACCCATCTCTGCTTCAAATGGAACGTTCACTTTTCTAAGGCACCCCCTCAAAGGAGCTGGGGAATTGGGAAGGGAATGAAGATTGTGAATCGCTTGGGGTCAGCTGATGTATATGGGTAGGATAAGAGGGTGGGATAGTTTAGTGTATATGGGTAGGGTAAGAGGGTGGTATAGAAAACTTGTGTGTACTTTTTTTTTTAAATAAATGAAGGTGTGTTGAGCAGTGGGGTAACTGTTGCTGCTAGCAGCGATTACTCCAGGGTGGTGGAAGGATAATTGGAGAACTGAGAGCCGAGACAGACAAATTCTTCCCACTAAATACATTTCTTTATAGATAAAGTAATTATTCAAACACCAGTCGATCAAAAATCACCTACTTCCTTCTCGATTTCCCCTCCTTACTAGGTTAGGAATACACTCTTTTTTTTTTTTTTAGAAATGCGAGGTGATTTTTCACAAAGGAGAAGAAAATTAAGGGGGTGAGGGGAGATTGCACGCCAGCAACAGGAATTTCTCCTGGTATTCAACAGATCGGCCCCAACCCACAAAGTCTTAGATTATAACGCAAGAATCGGGCACCCAAACAAACCCTAAAGCCTCCTCCCCTTCCAAAAAAGCCCTTCCACTCACCGATTGTGCGAGTAGGGGCCACACTTTGCGCCAGGAACTTTTACGCCAGTGATTTTCGGTCCATGCCTCGCAGCGTCTTGGAAAGATAAATAGAAATGGGAAGGGTGGGAAAAGACAGGTACACACACACACACACACACACACACACACACACACACACACCCTTCATCACCATTCGAGCAACACTCCCTTCTCTCCTGGGAGCCCATAAACTTCACCTACTAGATTAAAAGCTAGAACTGATCATCGGTGTAGTGAGAAGTTCAGATTTCATGGCAAAAAAAAAAGCGCTGGGTTAATATACCAGGGTTTGAAGGGTACCGGCACTGTGGGACAGGAAGAGGGGTCCTGGAAAAAGGGAAATCGTTTATTCTACGCGAAAATAACAGGAAGCTTGGGCGGTGGAGACATATATAGAGCTGTATAGACAGTTATTGGTAAAGGGCAATGAAAGTGTTGTGTGTGCGTGCGCGCGATGTGGCTGTCTTTCTCCCCCCCCTTTCTTTCTTTCTACATCAGAAATAGGGTAATGAAAAGAAGATGGTTTTCTTTTATGTTTCACCTACCCTGCTGCCAGGTGAGATGGCTGGGCTCGTTTTCTTGGTGAAGGGTCCAGTCCGTCTGTAAGTAAGCTGGAGTAGAGTTGAGCGCAGGTGATCCAGCGAGGTAGGAATGCACAGGAACCCCGCCCTCCAGGAACAGTTACACCACCCCAACAGTCTTGGCCAGCTCTGGAACCTTGAATGATCTTCACCTTCACCCTTTGCTCGTCCAGTTCACCACCAGCTCTTCTTGAGTACCAAGAACCTAGTACTTGAACCATTAAGCTTCCATGCAATAATTTTCTCCTGAAGCAAAGTCATTTGGATTTATGCAATTTCTCTAATTATGCTGGGGAAAACACTACTTTTACATAATTCTCTTTATACATATATATACACATATATGTATATATGTACATATATACATACATATATAAGCATGTATATATATATAGAGAGAGACACAGAGAGACATATATGTATATATACATGTATATCCAGAATTTCATTTATGAAAGATTAGACAACCAGCTCAGGGAAATTAATAGCATCAATGAACAAAAAAGAATTTTAAAATGCAGAGAATTAACAACAAAGAACTGCAAAAAACAAAACAAAACAAACCTTCCTCTTGATTTTCTATAGATGTTCCTAATTACAGGAAATAAATCTCCAAAAGGCAACTGAATGCATTGAACAGTTAGGGCCCCAGTCTTTATATTCATTTTTATACCAATCCTATTATAGCACAAGAAAGATTATTTGGGAAATCCTGTTTCAGAGTCTTCAAACTATTTTTAAAATAAAAAATGGGATTGGCAGTTAACTTATAATATTTATTCAATGGTTTATGCTATTTTAATTCTTTTAACCTTAAATTAAGACCAATTAAATGTTTTCACTCAAAAATATAATTCTGGATTTTATATTTTCATATTAAAATTTATAAATCCAGTATCTGAGTGAATTCACTGATTCCACATTTTGAGGAATATTTATAACGATCTCATTTCTTTAAAAATTCTAAATAAATACAAACAGGGTTAAAACTAAGAAACATTTTAACTTTTCTCTAACATATTAATTTAAAAATAGTTAAATACAAATTCCCAAAATTTTTCTTCAAGCTTTTACTCAACAAGGGTTGATGGAAACAAAGATCAACATTACATTGCAATTTTTTTTAAGTAAAATTGTCTTATTTTTAAGAAGACTGTCTTGCCTATATGTGAAAAGATTTCTAGAGAACAATAACCCTAAGAAGAAAAAGGGGGACAGATTGAGGTAAATGAAATTTGCATATTTAGGCCTTAACAAGTGTCCTATAAATTATCTTTCTATTTATATTATGTTTAAATGTACATAGATACATATATGTACATACATATATGTGTGTACATTTCCCCCAATATCTACTTGAAAATCATAAGTTGCTTCCAGTGAAAAGACCATAAAGGTGCCTTGAATACATGTATGGATTAACACTCACCCAGCCCTCAACTCCCATAGTATAAAGAAGTCAATAACACCTGAATTTCTTAGGTAGCAGTTTACTACTGATCTCAAAGCACAGTGTTTGGCATTGAAATCTCATTCACTAAATGCATTTGAAAAAGAACACAGAACAAAAACAAAAATTAAACCCCAGCAATGCCATCTTTCTCCCAAATAAGGAAGTATTTATGAAAACAAAACAAAACAAAAAAGCCCATCAGTGATGATAAAACCTTTCTCCTAATATTAAGATCCCTTTACTTAAGTACAAGACCTCAGTTTCATTGTTTAAACTTTTCACAATCCAAACACTTTTCCTATATGCATCTAGAATTCCCAACAACAAAACCCATTGCAAAGCACTAAATAACCCATTATGCCAATCTTATAAAAAAGCAGAAGCAATCCTTTAAGTTTGTTTAAGTCACTAATATGCAAATGAGACTCCCTCATTGCTTAACTTCAGAATTTGGGGTTTCATTGCTACTTTAAAATAAAATTGCAAATTTAATATATTTAATGTTTTATTGTTTATATATCAATAAAACTATTGGTGTATTACATATTTACACGTGTTACTATCACATTTTCTGGGGTAGTTGAACTGAAAAGAATGGTATTAGCCTATGACCAACTCATTAAAAAACAATCCCTGAAAGTGGAAATTTAGACTTATCTAGATTTAAAACAAAACATATTTTTTTTCTGGACTATTTGATTGAATCTCTTCTTTACTATTTCCAGCCCTCATTAAAAACTAAACAAAACAAAACAAAAAACATACTTCTCTTAGATCTTTTGGGGAGGAGTTATATTTCCAATAGAAAAAAAAATCTCTCTCACTCTCTCCATCTCACAAAGAATATTAAATATTCAAGTATTCTGCATTTCAAATTTAAATTTTCTAGAGGCCTCTACTCCCCTTGGCTTTTTTTTAAAATTCAACTCCTTAAGTGTTTCCAGATAAGATCTCTAGAACAGATTATTTTTCATTGGGCCCATTGTGAGAAGTAGCTGGCTTATTGCATTACTGCAGAACACATTTCAGACTATAGAATTGTAACAAATAAACAACTTGTCTTCCCCAGAATCACCACGGGATCCAATTAGTTATAGTAAACCTCTCGATAAAGTTTTCTAATTGTTTTTCGGGAGGCGTGACATTCATCAATAAACTTTTTTGCTTTTGTTTGTTTTTGGTTCATTACAAATTAAAACAGAAGTATGGCTCAATGTAAGTAAATAGGACAAACTTCCAGTTGAAAATTGCTAACATATTTATAAAGAGTCAATTAATATATATTTATTTCAAGGGTATAAAAAAGTGAGGCACCTTTCTGCACCTGAACAAATAGAGATTAAAACTGAGAATTTGGGGAGAAAATATAAGCATTGATCTGTAAAGTCATTACATCAGGCGATCACTTGCAGCAAAACTGTATTTCAACTTTAGCACATCTTTATTAGAACTCTCACTGTGGGTAAACAGCCACAAAAATAAATGCTGACTTAGAAACTATAAATACAAATATTAATAAACAAAATGTTTGCAGCATCAAAAGCGCAAATACTCCCTGAACTGTAGGGATCTCTCTGTGTATACATATATATACATATACCTACATATGCATATGTATAATATGTGTGTATTATAGTCATTGCTATCTAGCCATATACATATATATATTATATATATATAAAATCAGCCAGAGGCTATAAATATTTTTTGAAGCCTGAAACAAGGTGAATAGAAAAGTAAGCATTCTGTCAATTGAATGGAAAATAAACAGTAAATATCTATGCACACATATCACTAGATAAATTAATAAATTGCTGTGTATACTTAGAAATTTAAAGAGATCCGCTGAAAAAGTCTATAGTAAAAATAACTAGAGTTAATCAAATAACCTGCTGCTCCTTTTTTTTTTAAAGATTAATTCCATTTGGAGGAAAATACTATTTTTTATTTTTTTTTGTATAAAAGTTTCCATTTAAATCTAAGGAGCTATTTAAATCCAAAGCTGGCCTGTAGAGCCATCCTTTTGATTTTTTTTTAAAATAACTTTAATCTTTTGTAGATTAGCTCTACTTAATAAAAGAGACAAAACTATCAAGGTATATATGAATTTAGCCTATTTTTTATTTCTGTGTGTTCATAGTAAACATTTTTGTAAGTGACAAACACGGGCATATGACCACAGTATCACAATCAAATTTTAAGACGACATTAACAATCACTCAAATTTATGCGGCATTGGCGCAACACAGGTTACATATTTGCAAGGTTTACCTATAAGTACAATAGGTATTAACATTTCACTACATTTAGGAAAAATAAAAGTGACCTGTTAGTGACCACATACATCAAAATATACACAACACAAACTGAAGGCAATCATTAATTTTGTCCCCTTCTGACTCATTTGAACGGGCAGTGCTGCGAACTGAAACGTGCTTTTTTTGTTTGTTTTATGTTTTGTTTTTGCTTCTCTTTGAAATACTTAGTTCACCAAGTGCATTTTCTAAAACCCAATCTTTGGTCTAAAAGTAAACAAAAACCAGTTTCTTAAGGAAAAGGACAAAACAATAAATGGCCCAAATGTCGTTTCTTGGGAATCCTTACTATTAATTATTTTAAAATACAAATTACAGTTTAAACTTCTTTTTCCCACCTTTCCCATAATTTAGTGTTTTTTTCCAAGGTCTCCATCCACCATATATATCCATGATAACTTATAATACTGCAAACATGGAAATCTTGGTGGTAATTAGTGATAGACTTGTCGTGTCTGAATAAAAATTGCAAAGCAGTCACTATTTAGATACACATTCTACTATAATTTTGACTTCCAAACTTCGTAGTCTACAGTGTATTCTCCCCACATTGCACCTCGCTGACACTCCACACCTTGTTAGAATAATAAACAACCCTAAAGACTGAACAAACGTACAGAAAATGGGGGACTTAATAAAAAATACCTGGACTTATTTTTTAATTATCATTTACAATGCAAATGTGTGTAAAATGTTCACTTACAGTCTGGTCCCAGGGATGTTAATGTATTAAAGGGTTGGAAGAAGACCCCTGATTTTGATGTGTGAAATAATCAGAAAGTCCTCCAGACAGTCCCGTTGTAAAACTTGGCAAAGAGGGTCTTAAAGACTCACAGGGCAGGGTGGAGGGCGCCTGCGGAGACGTGGAGGAGGAAGCGGCCCGGGCGGTCATAGAAGTGCTGCTTTGAGAAGTCATTGAAGGGTGAGGGACATGGGGGAAAAAGTAACTTGTCTGTCCCGCCAGCAGATTGACGGAGCAAGGGTTTAGGGAATAGGTCCCGGAGCAGGGGACAGACAGCCCGCAGGGCACAGAGGCTGCCAGGGCAGCGGCCGTAAGGTGATGCGTGGCATAAGGGATCTCCCCGTTGACGAGTCTATCAACACTTAACCCATTGGAAGTGGAAAAGGAGTGGTTGTTGCCCAGCGAGTTCTGAGTCAACACGGAGCTGTAGGGCATGGGGTGGCTGGGGTAAGCGGATGTGGTTCCATTGTAACTCAAAGTGCTGCTAGCCCGGGGGTGGTGTAGGGATAGGAAGGGAGACATGGGCCAGTACAAAGAGCCTGCCCGATCCATGAAGGTCAGTCCGGTGGAGTGAGCCTAGCCCCGCGTTTGAAGGCCAACTTAGCCCGGGACGTCGTAGATCTCCGGCGCAATTTACCAGTCGTGCCCCCGATGAACACGTCGTCGCTTGAAGGGTCCAGCATCCAATAGTTCCCTTTGCCCGGGTCGTCATAGTGGCGGGGTACCTTGACGAAGCACTTGTTCAGGGACAGGTTGTGGCGGATGGAGTTTTGCCAGCCCTGCTTGTTCTCCCGGTAGTAAGGAAAGTTCTTCATGATGAATTCGTAGATGCCGTTGAGGGTGAGGCGTTTCTCTGGGCTCTGGCGGATGGCCATCATGATCAGGGCATTATAACTGAAGGGCGGCTTCTCGTACTTGCCGTTCTTCTTCTCCCCTTCCTTGCCCCCCTCCCCGTCCTTGCCGCCCTCACCCGCCCCCTTCTTCTCCTCCCCCCCAGACCCTTTCTCCTTCTCCTCCTGCCCAACAGGGGCCAAGTCTCCGGCCCCACCGCCACCTCCGCCGCCGGGTTCACCCTTGCCCCCAAGCCCATCAGCTTTGGCCCCGTCTAGGGCTGCCGAGGCGGTAGCAGCCGAAGCGGCCCCCTGAGGGGGTGGAGGAAGCAGGAGCTGCTGGGGTCCCTTATCCTCATCTTCATCGGCTGGGGCGCTGCGCGCCTGGGGGGCCTGAGGGGGTTGGGGTGGCGGGGGGTGTTGCTGCTGTTGCTGTTGCTGAGGAGGCTGCTGCTGCTGGGGAGGAGGTGGAGGCGGCGGGTGATGGTGGTGGTGGTGGCCGTGGTGGTGATGATGATGGGGCGGAGGGTGGTGGCTGTTGTGGTGGCCGTGGCCCGCGTGGTGGTTGTCGCTCTGCACTGCCTCAGGCACCAGGCTGTTAATGCTGAAGGAGGACTTTGGGATCATTTTCACCTCTTTCCTATCTCCCATGTCCAACATCACCCACTATTATGGGGGGGAAGCGGCGGCGGTGGCTGCGCCCGCGGGATCGGTGGCGGTGGTGGCAGCAGCGGCGGGGGCGCGGGAGAGGACCGGCGACGGCGGCAGCAGCAGCGACGGAAGGGTGCCGAGCGGGGCGCGGGTGGCACTTGCGGCGGCAGCGGCAGTAGCACTGAGCGCACCGGCAGCAGCGCAGTTGGACCGCAATCTCGGGCGCTGGCAAGTCATGTAGCAAAAGCAGCAACCACCCCTCAGGAAATTTAAAAAAAAAAAAAGGAAAGAAAGAAAGAAAGAAAAGAGAAACAACCACCGCCCCGGGGGTGAAGCTCTCTCGCTCCCAACTCTACTTCATGGTCTTCCCCCCACCCCGCCCCCCCTTTTGCTTCCTCCTCCTCTTCCTCCTCCTCCTTCTCCTCCTCCTGCTGCAGCAGCAGCAGTAACAGCAGCAGCAGCAGCAGCAGCCCAAAGGGGGGGAGACCAGGCGGGCGCGTCCCGGAACGGCGGCAGCGAGGCTGGGGAGACAGCGATCGAGGCGGCTATAGCCACAATTAATTTTCCGAGCTACAGGCGCACACTAGGGCTGTAAAAAAATTTTTGGTTTAACCTTTCCTACCGGTCGGCCAATCAGAGCCGGCGGCGTGCGGGAGCGTCTCTCTCTCAGTCATCCAATCCCGAGATTCTTCCCTTCTCTCTTCACCCACACCTCTCACCCTCCCTTCTTTCCTCCTTTCCTCCCCCTTCTTGCTCCCTTCTCCTCCCCCACTCCACCCAGTGCCATTGCAGGCGCACGGATACAGGCAGGAGGACGCATCACCCCGGCACCTTATCCTTTCTCCCACCTCTCACGCCCCCTCCCAACCCACCAGCCCTTTTTATCCCAAATTCGCCTCTTAAAGCAAATATATCACATTTCCGGTCCCCTTCGCACTGTATTGGATCATGTTCGTTTTGTACGTCAATATTTTCTCCTCTTGATTAAAGTTTGTACCTTTTTAAAAAAAAACGTTTTAAAAAAGGGAGGGGAGTAAGAGTGAGAGTGGAGGGAGTGGATACAAGAGGAAAGCAGGAAATGGAGGAGGAAGAGGCAAGGCACTACTTTCCAGAGACATTCCTGCCTGGCGGTGTCATGTATTTCTGAGACCCTAGCATTCTCCCCTCTCTCGTAGGTAACACTATAAAGAGACCATGGGCGATTTAGGAGAAGGTTAGACCTGTCACCTGCGTGTGGTTGGGAGTCTGAGTGAAGTTTTGGAGGGAGAGGGGGAGGAGGAAGTGAGGAGGGACAGACGGGGGCAAGGGAAAGGTTACTTCCTCGGCTCCTGCGCCTTAGGTCCTTGTGTCTTGCCAGGCAGCAGAGAACCCGCAGAGCAGTTCTTCGGGACTATGGGGTCCCGCACGCAGCCGCTTTTTCCGAGGAAGGCGTCCTCGGGGTCACTGGAGGGTTGGGGAGCTTAGTGTTAAGCGTCTTTCATGGGTCTTCCGAAATGAGGGGTTCAGAGAAAGAAAGCAAAACAAACAATCTCAAAATAAACCAGGTAAAAATATAAAACATGATATATGTGTTTGTGTGTGTATGTGTAGCCCGCCCTCCCCACCCGGCAGCCTTCTGCTTACTGTGGGGGTTACCTTGGTTCTTTTTCCTCCTCATGGCTCCGTCAAGGATTCATTATGTAATCGGATCGGGACCCTGTTGTCCAAGAACTACTTACTCTGGAGGTGTTTTCGATTTTTTCCCTCTTTGTTTCTTTTGTTTGTTTTCCTGAAGTTGTACCAAAAGGATGGGTATGTGTTTCCTGGGAAGTTTTCCCTCTGTCTTCCCTTCCCCCTTTCCCTATTTTCCATTTCCCACTGGTCTCAAAACCTAATTTAACCCACCCAAGTATGATCCCCATCAACGAGGAATTCATGTTGGAAGTTTCATCCACCATATGGAAATCTTGGCCCTCCAGATTCGTTACTTGCATTTTAAATTCCCCGAAGACTGAGGTACTGTGGAAATTCCTAGAGGGACCCACAGATAAAAATCAAGATTAGGGCCCAACATTTCCCGGGCTCTAGAATTTAGTGTTAATTATCCAGATCAACTGGTGCTTTAATCCCCCTCCCAACACACACACACACACACACACACACACACACACACACACACACTCCTTCTCGGACACGCAACTCACTGAGAAAGTAGGAAAGGAGGGGGAGAGTGAGGGAAAAGTCATGAATGGAAAGGATATTTTCCCTGTCACATAATACACACATATATAACATATATACCCATATATATATAAAGTCGTGTAATGTAAGTATTTCTTCACCTTCATAAAGTCGTGGGGTAGGGTGAAGAGAACCTGGCATTCAGTTTGAGTTGGTATTTGGAAAAATGTCAAAAGAAAATATGTGAGTATATATGGTGGCTAAGCCTTAAACTCATCTCTAATATAAAGGATGCATTTAATGGAAACTAAATGAGCAAAGGGTTGAAGAATTGTTCTTTTCCCCACCCCAATCCCATGTAATCCATGAGTGTATGTGTGTATGTGTGAATGTGTGTGAGAGAGAGCGCCAGGGGCAGAGGAACCATAAATAAGAACAATTACACCTGGTCAATGATGAACTTTTGCCATCCAGAATACAATGAGATATCTCTAAACATTAGGCTAACCTCAAATGACCTCACACTATTTTAATGTAGTTATCCTATTTTTCTGATGTGTCCCCTACTTTACAAATAATAAGAAAAAATGTTAATTATAAAATTTTACAGTCAAGTTTCTAATTAATAAAACACTTCATGTAGTTTAAAAAGTCAAGATTGACATTAGTATGACACTATATGTTGACTCGAAGGTGTTAAGTTCTTCAGAGTTACTAATACAGTGGCCAGGACTGGTAAGATCAGTGTACTTTCTATGTACTATCTTCTTCCTCCCTACTTCCTCAGTACTCTCTCTTTCCCCCACTACTCTCTGATTCCTACCTCCTTTCTCTACCTCCCCCCTTCCCCACTATTATCCCTCTCTATCCCTTTCTCCTCCCTTCTTTCCCTTTCCTCCTCTTCCCCCTATTTCTCCTTCTACTCCTCCCTATTTCTCTTCCTTTCACCCCTCCCCCACCCACCCTTCTCATCATCACTTATAAGGGTACACAGGGCTCCCTCTGAGGTGGACAGGCCCAGTACGTTTTCGTAGTCGGTCTAGCGTGAAATGATTCGGTGTAACCGGATTCTTGGGAAAGGACAGGTTACGTAAACATTTACTGATGTGGAGTAACTATACTATTTGTACTCTGATATGCAGGAAGGAAAGTGTTGATTAACACAGAAGAAAAAAAAGCGAAATTAGCTGATTGCATGCTCATAAGTGCAAGCTGTCATTGAACTGCTTTTAAAATAGACACAGCTGGGTGTTTGTGTTGAAAAATTTCTTGTGTTTTTGCTAATACTGAAATAAGCATGATTTTGTATACCAAACATTTTCAGATCATTAAAATTTGTAATCTGTGCTGGTTTTAAACACAAAGAAAAGAAACAGAATCATTTCGATGTAAAATTTGCTGATATTATATTAACTCAATCAGGTCTGTACAAATTGTGCATTGTGCCTCCTAAAATCTGTTTGATCAATTTAATACACAAAGTGCCAAACGTGGGTATTGTTTGTTAACATTGGACATTTTATTCAAATCCAAGCTCAGCAGCAAACAGGGAGAGCTTCTCCTTGAATGCAGCTATAGCACTGCCTACTGAATTTTTAATGCTTTAAGGTGTTTCTAGGGTCAAAGCAGCATTTACATTACTTTTAGTGCTGGATGAAGCTGAAGGGGGCGAGTTGGAGGAAATAAGTGTCTTTTTTTTTCCCATTTTGGAACCGGGAACAGTGTGATAAAAAAAATAATAGAAAGGCATTATTGACCACATATAATAATTTTATTTTAGTCTCCTTTCTGCCTTATTGACTAAAAAAATAAATTTCAGACTTCCACTAAGAATGAAACAATATTTTTAGTTTTGACAATACATATCAATGTCAGGAAGTTTATTATGTTCGGACTTACATAATGGGCATTTTATTCACCCTATGAAATCTGTCTTGCCAAACTAAAAAAAAAGAAAGGTAGCTGTCTCTGAGAATATGCTCGGTTGAATCCTGTGTAATTATTTTAAACTGCAGGATATCGATATTATTTCCATTTATGCATATAGGCGCTTTTCAGTAGAAAATTCACAGCTTGCAAGTACGCAAATGTATATTTCAGAAAGGGCTTTTTGCTCAAACTACTTTAGAGTGTCCCAGGAAAAGGACACTGAAACAGAGGCACTGTCCAAAATGAAAAGTGCTGGGGCAGGGCACTGTGGGTCTCAGGATCCTCTTCTAAACATGATTCAGAGCTATGACAAAAGCCGGAGGAGCGTTCTGTTCCCTTCATTGTATATATTAGGCCGAGCTCTTTAACCGATAGTGGTGGCATTGCATCTCTGCAGTGATTAGCCCGAGTAAACAGAGAGAGCATCGTTGTCCAGTTAAATCAGACCACCTTAGTTTGAACAAAATTCTTTTTGATTTGATTTTTTAAAAATTATCTTGCCTTAATCCCGCCCCACCACTCCCCAGTCCCCGTTTTCAGAAATCACATGAAGTTCCCTTATACTGAATAGAAGAAAGGACAGCACAAACCATGGCTGAGACAAATTTCTCCCCCATGCTTACTCTCCCCTCCTCCCCCTCCCTTCAACCTCCCACCCCTCATAATCTACAGGCCTCACAAAGCTGTTCTAATCTAAGAAATGCTTCAGAAATTTATGTTTCATCAGCCGTGAGTAACTGGTATTTAATAGCCACGCTTTGATAGCATTATGCAAGGAGCCAGCAGATTTCATTTTACCATTCAGTGATGACATATTAAATACCTTAGGGGCTGCTATTTATCGCGTTAGTTCTGGGCTTTCCTTGTTTGGTTCCTGTTACCTGCAGAATGCAGGGAGAAGCCTTCCTATTTCTCTAGACTCCGTCCTTAGAGAGCAGGCTGTCCCCCTGTAGTCTGCAAAGACGAAGCTCGAGATGCAATCTCCACGGGGTGGGAGGTAGACCTGC